TAAGGGGAAAAATCTGAAGGACTCGCCCTGAAGACAGAAATGGCAGCAAAAATTTCCTTTTGCATGCTCTATCCCTTTCATTTGAGGGGACGGGGGATGGAAAAGTCTCCCAATATCTAATCCTGTTGTGGAACTTTCATAGATTTCATAGACATTAGGGCTGGAGTGCAATAACTTGAGAGTACAATAAATGGATGGATATTGAAACTGGTCATTTACACTTCCAGTGGCAGCCAATCTCTTCATGCAGCGCTAGGGGTTCTTTGCCTTTACAAGCTCTTCTCGTGTGTAGTGTGGACACATGCGCACCCGCATGCATGTTGCATTGGACTTATTTTGTTTCTTGCATTGGACTTATTCAGTTTCTTTCCAGTGCTTGCTCATCACAATGCAAAGGTTGGGAGGGAATAAACTCTGTCCCTGGAAAAATAGAAAATCTATAACGTTTTTGTCAACAACCTGTCCACAGTTCCAGAGCCAGTCAAGCTTTACCTCTAGCTTGCCTCCAGATCACTCTTAAGTTTAATATAGGGCTGGCTGTTGGGGGATTATTGGCAGGTGTCTTTAAAAAAAAAGTAGTAGTCAGTAGAGTTAACAGCAGTATTTTATATGGACGGTACCTCATTTACCTGAATCCAGGACTACTTTGAATTCAAGATGACCCACCAATAATTAGATTCTGTACGTGGAGAATTCATAAGTTTTGCCCCCCCTTGCCTGTGTTCCCTGGAGCCCACCCCCTTGCTGCTTGTCCCCCTGATTCTATTTATGTGCCCCCCACACCTGCCTCATCCCCTGCAGCACCGACACTGCCTTCTCACTTGGACCCTGACCCACTGCTGCTTATCCTGAGGTCTGGGTCTGGCCCTGGCCCTGGCCCTGGCCTCAGCCCAGGGCATGGAGCACAGGCTAGTGCTGGCCCCTTCCCAGCGAGGCAGCAGGATCAGCAGCTCTGGCCCTGGCCATGGAGGTGGAATTGGAGCCAGAACTACTACCAACACAGTCAATGCTACCAGGCCAGGCAAGTGCTGGAGCCAGAGCTGGAGCCGGTGCTGGGCAAGCAGCAGTAATAGGGGGAAGGATTAAGTAGGCAGGGGGAGAAGCAAGTGGTATGGGGAAAACACTGAATGCGGGCAGGGGGAACCTCATCTTGAATTCAAGGAGATACAGTTAAATATAGTATTTTGAATTTCTTAGGACCTCTCTTCTGAGCACCCCAAAGTCCTATTGGGAAATTAATACATTCTCACAATAATGGATCCCTAGTATTATCACTCCCATTTTAGAGGCAGATAAAATAAAGTAAGGAAATTTGAAGTATAAGGTAATGAAGAGGTTAAGGGAATTGCCCAAAACCAGCTGGGAGGCTTTGCCTGGAATTGAACTAATGACTCCTAGACCCATGAGATAGTTAGGATAAGCCAAATCCCTTCTTTCTCCTCCTCTCATATATACATGAAAAGAATCTGACCCTTGCTTCCTAATGTCACATTAACATCTCCTGGAGATAAATGCAGTTCCTTGTTAATTTACTCATCGATTTTAGTAGTTCTTTAAGGGTAGCAGAGATGCAGCAGTAATAGGCCATGGAAGCTTCCATGGCCTCTTCCTCCACTCTCTCGCAAACACACACCAAGAGTCAGTGTGGATTTTGTCATTTATTGGCTGAAGTATATCTCTTGGTAGAGAAGAGACAAGACTCTAATGGGCATAAAGAGTATTTTTCTATTGAGGCCAGTGATCGCAGACAAGAGGTTGTAGCTTGCCCTGGCTCTTTAGCTTCTACACAGACTATTACTATGTGAAGGAGAGCTACACGTCCCTACAAGCAAGATTAGCACCCAAGGAGGATGACTGGAGACCCTTTGGGTTAGAATACGAGGGGAGCGTAGGGAAGGGGATACAATGGTAGGAGTCTACTACAGACCTTCAAATCAGGAACAAGTGCTTGACCAAGAATTCGCCAGGGAACTGGCTGAGGCTGCATGCTCTCAGTGCATGGTCATCATGGGAGATTTCAACTACCCAGGATGAGCGCTTGGCCAAATGGGATGAGCTTTACCTGTCCCGAGAGCTTTATGGGCTGACAAGAGGCAAGGCACTGCTGGACCTGGTACTGGCCAAAGGGGATGAAGCGACCTAAGAATCGAAGGGAAGCTGGGTGACAGTGACCACAAGTTGATCACTTTCACTATCCATCACAAATCAGGCAAGTCAGCCAGCAATGCAGTAGTCCTTGACTTTAGGAAAACTGACTTCTATAAGCTCCAGAGGCTTGTTCTTGAGGCCCTGAGAGGCCATGATTTCACAGGGAGGGGAGTTCATGATGAGTGGTTGCTCCTTAGCAAGTGGTCCTAGAAGCACAAGGGGAGTCCATCCCCACCCATAGGAAAGGTGGTAAAAGGGCTCAACAACCCCCTTGGCTCAACAGGGAACTCATGGATTTCCTGTGTCTAAAAAGAGAGGTGTATAACAGATGAAGGACAGGAAACACCACTAAGGAGGCGTGTACTGCACTGGTCCACACCTGCAGGGAGCGAACTAGAAAAGCTAAGGCTGCAACTGAACTCCATCTGGTTACATGAATCAAGGACAATAAAAAGTCCTTCTTCAGATATGTGGGGAGTCGAAAGAAAAACAGGGGCAACATTGGAGCCCTGCTAAACCAGCTGGGGCAGCTGACTATTGACACTCAGGAAAAAGCCAGTCTGCTTAATGATTACTTTGCATTGTTTTTTCACCAGCCCAAAGGGACCACCCTGCGTAACATGATGCTGAGTGACCAGTGTAAAGATGAATATATGCACACCATTGGCATGGATCTTGTGAGGGAGCATCTTGAGAGGCTGGACCGCTACAAATCAGCTGGTCTGGATAGGTTGCACCCAAGAGTGCTAAAGGAACTGGCAGACATCATAGCGCAGCCACTGGTGAGGATATTCGAAAACTCATGGTGCTTGGGTGAAGTAATTGAAGATTGGAACAGGGCCAATGTGGTGCCTGTCTTCATGAAAGGGAGGAAAGAAGACCCAGGAAACTACAGGCCAGTCAGTTTGATCTAAATCCCTGGGAAGATTTTGGAAAAAATGATCAAAGAAACCATTCTTGACAGGCTAACAGAAGGCAATATTCTGAGGGATAGCCAGCATGGGTTTGTTGCGGGTAGGTCTTGCTTGACCAATCTCATTTCCATCTATGACCAGGTGACCTGGTGTCCCATGATGTCCTCATGGGAAAAATTGGGCAACTGTGGCCTCAACTACTCCACAGTCCAATGGCTGGGGAACTGGCTCTGAGGTTGGACTCGGTGAGTGGTAGTTGATAGAACTGAATCAACATGGCACTCGGCAACTAGTGACATCCCCCAAGGCTCCGTTCTCAGACCTATACTTTTTAATGTCTTCATAAATTATCTGGACACTGTTGTCGAAAGCGGACTGGCCAAGTTCGCTCACGACACCAAACTTTGGGGAAGAGTGTCCACACGTGAGGATAGGTTGGTGATCCAGGCTGACCTCAATAGGTTTGCAAAGTGGGCGGATGAAAACCCGATGGCATTCAATACAGAGAAATACAAGGTGCTCATCTCAGGAATTAAAACCTGCAGCACACTTATAGGCTTGGCAATACTACACTCGTTAGCACCATGACCGAAAGAGACTTGGGGGTCATGATTGACCACAAGATGAACATGAGCCACCAGTGCGATACCGCAGCTGGCAAAGCGAACAAAACTCTGGCTTGCATCTACTGTTGCATCTTGAGCAAGACCCTGGATGTCATCCTCCCATTGTACTCGGCCTTGGTGAGGCTGCAGATGGAGTACTGCATCCAATTCTGGGCTCCACAATTTAGGAAGGAAGTGGAGAAGCTTGAAAGAGTCCAGAGGAGAGCCATGTGCATGATCAGAGAGCAAGAGAACAGGCCTTATGAAGAGAGACTGCGAGCTATGGGACTTTTCGGCCTGGAGAAGCCCAGGCTCAGGGGTGACTTGGTGGTAGCCTATAAGTACATAAGGGGTGTGCATCAGGATCTGGGGGAACGCCTGTTCACCCAAGCACCCCAGGGCATGACAAGGTCCAACGGTCACAAACTCCTTCAAGACCATTTTAGGCTGGACATGAGGAAAAACTTCTTTACTGTTTGAGCCCCCAAGACCTGGAACAGACTCCCTCCAGAGGTGGTGCAAGCACCTACTGTGGACACTTCTAAGAAACATTTGGATGTTTATCTTGCTGGGATCCTTTGACCCTAGCTGACTTTCTGCCCCTTGGGCAGGGGGCTGGACCCAATAATATTCCAAAGTCCCTTCCAGCCCTAATGTCTATGAAATTACAGCCTCTGCTTCTTGGTAGCAACACACACATACAGTCTTCTTCCTTGCTGCCCCACAAACAGCAGGTGCCAGTGTCTTCAAAGATCAAGGATCAAAATTGTGCTCCTCCTTTGTTTTATACCACATGAAACTAGTGGGAATGGTTCTTGCGGAATACAGACACTTAAGGGTATACTGAGGTATTACAGAACTTGAGGAGTGACTATGTGCCAGGATGAGCCAGGGGAAGTTGTAGGTATGGCTACAGCCCGCTGTGCTCTGACTGCAGAATAGCTCCAGGTGGGCCTAAATTGGGAAAAAAAAAAACCCAAAACAAATAGGAGACTGCTCTAACTTATGGTTGGGGAGCCTGAAGGCCAAGAACACACAAGATTAGAGAGTGATTGATTCCACTTGCCATACCTCCCTCAACACTTTTCTTGCATCACCCGGGTGGTACGTGGAAAGGTACCCCCTCTCTAATCGAAGGGATATCAGTGGGTGCAGGTATGGTGTGAGGAGCGTGGCTGCCTAGCTGTAGGCTTGCTCACCTCCTTTTCCTACAGAGCAGAGCAGAGACCCAGGACAGCCAGTGATATTTAACTATGTAGAGGTTTAATGATACAAAATAATACAAAACTTAGAACAATAAACTTACATACATATATCTATAGGCATACATACATTTGTACATGGGTTATTTACAAACATTGGTTTACACAGGCAATAGGTCTTTTCAACCCTGAACTCTGGCACAGGCCTATCCCCTGTGGCCTTCTGATTAGACTGCAGCCCATGCCCCTCTAGTAGCAAGCAAAGGAGCATTTAAGGATAAAACACAGGTTAAGTAACAATTCAACAAAAGGAATAACTAGCAGCGATAGGGCAACAATTGAACATACACAATCAGGTTACATCAGTAGACTCACCGATACAAAAGATTCAGACATAAACAGCTTACAGCCCTCTCATATAGCAACAATAAGGATTCAGTATTACAAACAGAATCCCAATGGCATAGAAGCTGTGCCCTAAGAAAAAATGGCAACCCAGGGAAAGATCCCATTACCTAATAGAACATTGTTACCCTCTTCCAGGTTGCTCAATTAGGAGGGGCCCATAACCATGACCCCACCCTTAACAAACAGGGTCCCTAGACTCCCCTCTGTGCCCAGAGGTGAATTGCGCCCACTCCTCAGGGGCTTCCCCTTGATTCCCCTGCACAGTGAGGAGGGCCCTTCCTCTACTATGGGAATCCCCTTTCCGGGTAACTCATTACTCCCAGCATCCTCCCTTGCAGGGGTGGGCAACCCATCCAACCACTGCTCGCAGTAGGAAGGCCTGAGCTGCCTGGTGAAGCCACCGGGACCTATCAGCCCTCTGTTGACCCGCCATGCAGCGCCCTGTGCACTGGGACCGGCACTGCCTCGTGCAGCCAGAGCGACCTGTCAGCTTTAGGGCCCTGTGCACTGACGGCTTAACTCCTGCCTCATGCAGGGTTGGGGATCCACGCTACCTCGCAAAGCCGCTGTGGTCCCTTCCAGCTCTTCACCAGCCCCGTGCGTTGCCCTGTGCACCAAGGAGGCTGGGCTCCTGCCTCTTGAAGGGTTGGAGACCCACGTTGCCTTGTGCAGCCACGGAGGTCCCATCCACTCCTATTCCTTCCGTGCACCAATCTGTGTACTTTCTTTCCTGCCTTGTGCAGGGTTGGAGACCCACACTGCCTTGTGCAGCCACCAGGGTCCCATCCACTCCGGAACCCTCCATGCACCAATCTATGCACTGTTGCTGCGGCTCCCTCTACAGTGAGGCAGGGACGCAGCCACTTACTGCTTGCTGCTCCCTGTTTGGCAAAGGTATCTTGAGGGTGCTTCTGGGGCAACTGCTGTGCCTTGCTGGTCTGCTCCACCAGCTCGTCTCAGCCCTTCTTCATCATCCCTTGTCAAAGCCACCCATGTGCTCAGCACGTGGGCTTTTATTCCCTCTGGAGGTTCCACCCCCAGATTAGAAATGGACCAATCAGGAAGCTCAAGGGGTTAGTTCCCTTTCAGGTCCTCTCTCTCACCTCACCTCTGGGTCAGGGTAGGGCTGCCTTCTTTCTCCCTTCTCCTGACTGGTGGAAAAGGGAAACTGCCTCCACCAATGGGAGTCCGAGCCCTTCGGGCTCAAGCTAACAATCCGGGCTGCCAATGAGCCCACCGGCGAGCCTGCCACACTTGCAGCCAAAGGTTGAGGAGAATAAATAACATGTTCCCAAGTGGTCTTCTTTCCTTGGCTTTATCCACTCTATACTCCTTGTTCCAATGGCCAGTATTGCTCTGTAGACTGGAGCAAACCCTGGTATAAGAAGCAGCATTTTAAATATTTTGATGTATTGCTGTACTACTGGCTCTGGGTTAAAAACAAATATGAACCCAGTCCAAAAAATATCATGCCACTATCTACAATAAAGCTCACACAAGAGGCAAGTGATTTTCCTGTTCGTTCACTAGTGAGAAGCCTAGATTTCTTCACCCACATGGAAGTCAAGGAAATAATAAGCACCCTTCATCAGTTAAATAAGCTTCTATTTAGACATCAAGTTGGAAGGGGGAGGGGTCCTTTTTATCATGCTGGTTTACATTTTTTACTTTTTAATTAAATTTCTTCATTTACAGTCACACAGCTGTTTGGGCTTCAGCCATAGATAAGTGGATCTGTGTGGGATAGCAGCAGCCAGAATTTGTTTTTCTTCCCTTTCAGTCCCTCTTTGGCACCCAGCAGAAGTGAAATGGCATATATAGATTCAGCACAATTTTCTCCCAATTATTTGAGTTCCATCCTGTAACTGTACTAAGATATTAAAGCTGGGATTTTCATGGGAAGCTAGGCACCTAGCTCCTGCAGCTTGAGGTAGTCAGGGTCCTAAAAATGTTGCATCAAACATTCAGTATTTTGAGGATTGTTTTAGGATGAGGGGTTAAGTATTCTTGATGTTGTTGTTATTCATTTAAATACCAATTTTCTTACACATTTTAAAAGACCCCTGTGATTTTATATGTCTGCTTAGCAGCAGGTAGCTAAAGGGAATACCAGCTGTTCAGTGGATATAGTTTTATCAGCTTTTGTGATTTTTATCACAAGTCTAATAATGGGATGGTGTCTTCCATAAATCTCTAGACTCTGGAAGTCAGGTGAATAAACCAAAATCTCAGCTTTCATTTAGGAAAATTAAGTCCCACTCTTCATAGTTGCAGAGACAACCATGAACATGTGAACCCTGATTCAGAAGCTAGATAGCAAGTAAAATAAGTCCAAATCTATCATTTTTTTAATCTTAAGATTTTTAAGCGAATCTCTTTATATTTTGGAACTTGATTCATGATGCTTGGTTGATTAGGGTGGGTAAGGATGTACATATTGGTAACTGCCCTCACATTTACAACAGAGAGTTTGTGTCAAATATCCATGTAGACGACAGGTCCTAGACTAGTGCTCCACCTCAGTCCTAATAGAAAAATGCTCATCTTGACACAGAATATCTCTTCATACTACACCTACTATCTAAAGTGGATGGTAGATGCAGCACTTTTGCAAACTAAGTGAACTCCATTCCCTCCCAGCAAGTTGCTAAAGAAGCAGTTTCAGGCGAGCACAGAAAAGTGCCATTTCTGAAGAAATGACTTATGGGTGCCACATCTGTGTCTCTGTAGCTTCAAGATCAAATGTCCTCCATTTTGCAACCAGTTCAAGTACATCTTTACCTAACTATGGAGCCACTTGAAGGGTCCCTGTCCTCTATAGTCATTGGTCTTCACTCCACCCTTAAAAATAAAATTGTGTCCTGGATGGAGCTTCAGCAAAGAGGGAGAGAGGCCATAATGTCAGGTGGGAGGAGGGTCAGAGGGCATCAACAGAGACCATGTGGAGTGGTGGACAATGGTTACACTGGAAAGGCTGAGAAAGCAAAGAGACAGGGTCAGGGACAGGAAAGAAAAAGCAACACAAAGGGGTAAAATGGAGTCAAGGCCAGGTGAAGGTCTTCTCAGAAAGGAAGGAGGAGCTTATCAGCTGTTGTCCAGGCCAGGATGGTTTTGAGCCCTTAAAGTAAGCACAGCAGCTCAGAATAACGTATTTTCTCTCTCATATGTACAGCAGAAGGGAACGTGGGTACAGAATACAGTCTGCTTTTCTGTTTTGTCTCCTGCCATCCTGAACCACAAATTCCACTGTCTGTTAGAAATGATCCGGCTTGATTTATAAGTTAGTTACAACTTTTCTCATTTCTGGCCCTGGAATCGTGAGTTAAACTGGATTCCTTCCTGCTCCTACACAATCGCTAGAGATTCCTCAACTCTGAATCTCTACGCCGTCTGCAAAGCACAAAGATCCAATTTCCTTATACTAACTTCTTTGCCAGACTAGAACTGCACCTTGTTTGCTAGCTCCTCAGATGGGATTAATTGATAAAGCTTCATTCACTTGAGTGAGGCTGTGCCAACTTATACTAGTGGAGAATGCAGCCTCATGAGTTACGATTTTTAAATCTGTTATTCTACATACACTTGCACTTTTTAGTTCCTTGAAGGAAGCTGTTCTCTGCTCTTTTAGATAAGATAATTAATACTCTGCAAATTTCTGGGGGATTTCAGGGAGAAATTAGTTCACCTGCAGGATTAAAGGCAGGAAAGTTTCTTTGGATAGAGCAGGATGAAATTTTTCCCCAAGCTGTTATTCAAACAGCATTCCCTACCCCTTCTTTAGTGGGCAGTTTCCACAAGACAGATGCAGTGTTATTAGAGAGCTCCAGTTTGCCTTCAATAGCCTCGTATCTATATCTGTGCAGTCAGGAGCAAAACACTGTGCAGATTAAATCATAAACATATGGACAGCTATTCCACACTACTCCAGAAAGGGAAAGCAAAAGGGCAAGAAGAAAGCATAGAAACAGTGCAAAACACAGCACCATTGGGGCCTGGCTAGATCTAAGTGAGAAGAAGAAATTTTAGGAAATTATGATACTTTCTCCACAGCCATATGGATGTGAGGAGGCTGGAGAAATGAGGAGAAATCCTCAGATAGACCTGTGCTGGGCTGTTTTGTAATTGGTTGGTACAAATATGTCTCAGGATTGTCATGGCCTAGTTGTACAGAAGTAGTGCACCTCAGCCAGTAACTATGTTCCAGTTGGGTTTGGGGGTAGTTTTGGACTGCTTGATTTAAAGGATCATCTTGGAAGGAGGAAGAGGAGGCAAAAATTGTTTTAAGTACAGTTAAGGTGTGTCAAATGACAGTGAATCGTGTTTATTTCTTAGGTTTCATAAAACATAGAAGATTTGCTTTCTAGAACAAATGAAAAGATGTAACTCAAACAGGTCAGCAAATGTATATAATTTCCCACATTAAAAGTATGAAAAAATAAAAGTGTTTCTGTATTGCCAGGATGTTGCATGGATTTTACCAGGTTTGTGATGAAATAGAAAAAAAATAATTCAACAGAAATAGAGACTTTCTTCACATTTTGCCAAAAAGACCTTTTTTTTTTACTTGGATCTGATGTAGACCCTCCCTTATTTAAGAAACAGCACAGTAAGTGGGAGTAATAAAACGGCCCTGATTCAGGAAGCATGTAAGCACGGGCTAATGCTTTTCTGACTGAGGCCCTTTAGGAGGGGACGGCTGAAGGAAGGACAAGGGGTCACAGCGATAAGGCAGTGCAGCACTCAGGTCTGGTATGTGCATGTTGTGATATTTCCATTGAATTCGCAGTTTTGTTTTATTTTTTTTAAATTCAGAGAGCATTTCCTCCTGTGGGCCTTGATCCTGTGCTGTAGAAGTTAATGGGTGTTTTCCAGTTGCTTTCAACAGGACCAGGAGCCAGTTTCTTCATACCTGCTATGCACTGGGTTCAGGGTTGTATATCAAGAACTTAGACCTAGACTTACGAAGTGCTGTAAAGAATCCAGGTCCCAGCTCTGATTCAATGTATGTAGTATCTTCACCTCACCCAGGACAAACACAGCACCCTGAATTAGAATCTTGGCAGCTAAAAAAAACCTTGAAAAAGCTGCTTTGTGCCCCAACTTTGTCTAAATCTCTCCCAACCATGCAGTTGGTCCAATAGGAGACTAATCCTACACCCACAGAAATCCTTAACCTCCCACAAACAAGCCCTTTCTCTTTGTATATAAGATGTATTTAAATGCTACGTGGTACAATTCTTGTCTATCATTTCAAGGCCGGTTCTGCTGCTTTGTAGGTTAAGGACAGATATATACTTGGAGTGGCTTCAAAAGTGGGGAGGGAGCTGCTGCTTGGGAGCCTGTAGCTATACAAATGGAGCAAAAGTGCTTCAGCTTTAACTCGGCTTCATCTACGTTCAAAGTTGGGGTGATTTAGCTCATTTGTCTCACTATGGGCTCATGCGCACATAACAGCTTCAGCATAACAGCTGCTGCATGCTCCCACACAGCTGCTCCCCCTCCCCTTTTGAAGCTGCTCCAAGTGTATGCCAGTCCGTGCCCAGGGTCTGCTAACATCAGTAGGAGCTGCAGGTACTTGATGCACCTAAAATCAGCAAGGTGACACATGAACTTGGGGACTTGACGTTACACACTCAAATTTGGAAATATTGTCCTGAAGCTTCCTGCTTTACAGGCCTTCCCCTTCCATAAGCAGGATAACCTTTATCTGCAGAGCCTCACTGCAGAATTGAGAGGATGACCAGCTAATTAATGTCTGTCACACACTGGGAGGGAAAAGTGCAAAAGAAATGCAAAGCGGTAGTAGTGTTTAATATTTATTACCGTAAAATGCTTTTGAGGCATCAGGCATTCCATAAATGTTAAATTGTATTAAAACTGGGCTGCTCTTATCAAAGTATATAATAATTGCATTGAGTAATGGAGCATTTTGCATCTTTTACAGTGACTCTTCACCTATTTACTAAGGCACAAAGTGTCTGATCCAGCAACTACTAAAGCTAATGATTTCAGCAGGTACCAGGTCATACCCATAGGTGGAAGTCTGCATCAGTCATTTGCTTTTTTGCAAAGCTGTTTTCTTTGCAGGTGATACAGTGCAGTCTATGGCACGTTTTGTCATACAGCACAGCGCTGAGCCATTTCACAGCCCATAGTACTGCAGAACCTACAGAGCTGTAGTTGTAGAGAAAGACTAGTAAGGCCCACTCTCTGTTACTGGAGTGATGGCCTCTGTTTGCAGCCTGAAAATTTATGCGATGCCTTTTATTATAAACATAAACGTGAGGAAATGAACATTTGATTAAACTAAGCACATGGGCCTTATACTCTGGACCCTAATTTAAAGCACTGTCACCTCTGTATAAAAAATACCAGCTGGAGATGGAATGATTTAATTTAATCAGCTGGCTCTTATGTGATACCATGAATGTCTGCTGAGAGGGGGCAGGGGGAAATCTCTACTCCTGCAGATACTGCACTAACCACCAAGAGACACTTCCATAGCAGGAAAGATTATGTTCAATATGAACTACAGCAGTTAATGTGCATTGGACTGGTGACATGCCCTTTGAAGAGACCTACCCTAATTTTATAATTCTCTCACTAAGCCTGTTGGGCCTCTGTAAGTTGTGTCTCTAGTTTAATTTCCTCTGTGCCTCCCTCTCACTGGGATACTTCACTATTTGGTATTTCTGCCACCCAAGTGGAAGTTTTGTTTCTGTTAGACAAGTCTAGAGAGAGACTTTCAAATCTCTTTGAGGTGATCTGGTGGCCATCTATAAGTTTATCGGGGTGCTTACCAGGATCTGGGGAAACGTCTGTTCATCAGAGTGCCCCAAGGGATGACAAGGTTGAACGGCCACAAACTCATCCAGAACTGTTTCAGGCTGGACATAAGGAAGAATTTCTTCACTGTCCAAGCCCCCAAGGTCTGGAATAGACTGCTGCCAGAGGTGGTTCAAGCGCTACTTTGAACACCTTCAAGAGACATTTGGATGTTTATCTTGCTGGGATCCTATGATCCCTGCTGACTTCCTGCTCCTGGGGCAGGGGACTGGACTCGATCTTCTGAGATCCTTTCCAGCCCTAATGTCTATGAAATCTGTTGACCAAGACAGGGAGAGCACTAAAGTGCCTCTGGCTGAGTGCAAATAAGTTTTAAGGATACAAGAAATGGGTTATCCCTGTGCTGGTTGACCTGGCTCAACACAAGTGAAATGGCTATAGGGTACATCAAATCCACCAGTCATTTTATGGATTAAGTGAGCTGGTTAAGGAGGAGAATTATTCTTCCTCTCCAGCTCCAAAAAAGCAAATTGTCAGTCAAGAGGGGAGGAGAGAACACAAACTCTAAACCCTGTCTTGTTCCAATTAGAAGATCCTTCTACATCAAAAGCCAAACTTGCTACTGCTTCATGGCTGTGGAGGGCTCTCTGTGCAGAAGAATCCCTCCCCGACTTCAGATTTGATAATTCAGCATGCAGTGTCTGTCAGAGGACTTGGTCCAGGAAGATCTCCCTCTCCGTTTTGGAGACTGGGATGTATTGCAGTGCATGCACTTTTGAAGCCAGAATTGGTTCGTAGATGATCTATTCTCCTCTTTTTACAGTAGAGTAAATCTATTTAAAGACTTTCCCCTCTCTTTTTCTGCTTACTTCATACTTTCTACCTGATGCTACTTATTCTGCATTCAGGCACCTGTAGTGAGGCCTAGGGTGAGCCTGGTTTGGTTGGCAATCTGTATGTGTGTAGTCTTTGAGGCAGCTCCTCTCTTATCACAAAAAAAACCCTTTTTTGTCTCATTAAAGTTTCCCTTTGTGATGTCATCATGACCTTTTAAACCCCAAAAGCAGCCCTCTGCAGGCAGTGCTTGTCCATCTTCTGTCAGGAGCTGGAGTCTGATTCAGAAGAAAATCTGAAGAGCTCTAAAGAGAGCCAGCATTGGTGTAACTTACACCTTCTGGCTTCTTCACCAGTGACACCATGCCAGCTTAAACAGCTACTAGATGCGCTGGCTTGGGGCCACGTTTTCTGATCACTTACACCATTGCAACCCCCTAATATATATCTGGGGTCTCCTGCTTGCTTGTATAGCTCACACTGATGCTGGAATTACTGCTTGTGATTTCAATAGGCATATACCCTAAGTTATATCATGTGCATCACCTCTGAAATGAGCCCTTTGTCTCTAAGGCAGTCTCACTAACCAAGCGATATTTGGAGAATGTGCAAGGGCACTGACACCCTGTGGGACAGCTGCTGAGAGGTGCTCAGTACTTACTGCAATCAGCAGGAGCTGCCAGTTTTTTGAATACGTAGTCTGTATTTTCTGTTCAAGGATCTGCTTCTTTTTAATACTTTACACTTATTGGTGACTAATTTTGAAGTTAACACACCAATCTGTTAAGTCATGGCAGCAGTTGAAGTCCAGCAGGAGATCATATAATATACAACAAAAGAAATGTACAGGATGGAGGCAGAAGTGCCTGTGGCAGTTATTCTACACGAGACACTGACTGCGCAGTAGCTTGATACTACCGTGCAGTAGCGTTGCATAACAAAAACCATGATGTGACACTACAGCACAGCAGTATCGCAAAAAAGGCATTTGCTGGCACTACCATGTGGTAACAACTACAACTATGCAGTAGCGTCTCATGTAGACGTGCCCTCTGAGTCACTTCAGTTGCTGCACTGAGAGTTTATCAAATCCTATGCAGTGGCTGTAGGGAAAGCAGAGACCCTTCTTTTCTCCTTCTCTAGGAGTATCCATGGAGAGTTTCTGAGTTCTTCGGATGGTTGACAGCATGTTGAATCCAGATTGCATCCACTTGGAAACCATATCAAATGTTTCTTGCAGTGAGGTTCTTCCTCTCTGCCTTTGCCAGCAGTATTGATTCAGTACCGTCTGCACTGAGCCACTCCTCTGTGGCAGATCTAAGTTTCAGAGCATAAATGTGAAGTCGTCCCTAGTCAGGTTTTCCCCCAATTTTGTCCCAGCACTTGAACATGCCAAGTAAAATGTAGAGAGGAATAAGCTTCTTCCATTAAGCCAGCGGTGGTTAGGTTTATGTTGAAAAACCCCTCTCTTTTTCATCGATAGTCACATTAATGGCTATCCTGTCTCTGACCTGGCCTTTCTCAATACAGTTATTAAAAAGGATCCAGTGGCACATCTCTGACATCATCTGGCATCTCAGATTTCTTTGACCCCTATATTAGTCTGGCATTCAATCTGGATATGGCACACTGACTCTTCTTGCTTTGTTGGTGGATTGATTGCATTCTGGGGTGGGCAAAGGTCAAGAGCGCAAGCAGATTCTTTGATCTATCAGCAGCTTTTGATCTATGTAATCAAGAAATGTAGGGCTGGACGGGAGAATTTGTCAGCAATTTTACTTTTTCTGTGGTGACAAGTCTTCAAAGATCAGGCTTTTTGCTCACCAACACACATTTCTATGCTTTCTTCCCATTCCATATTTTTGGGAGCTGCTCACGTCCAGTTAATATGCAGATCTAGGTCTGGTTCTGCTGTAACGCCAATCTTCCCTTTGAAGGCATTACCCATTGTCATGCATGCTCTTATGACTTCAGGTTTAAGTTGTCTGAAGTGACCCTTCTGGACTACACAGAAACTGTGCCTGGTGTAGAATGGGACTGTCCCATTGCCCAGCGGTGTTAGTTTGAATACTAGAATGTCTCTGGGGTCTTCACTGGTTTCCAAGTCAATTCCAGATTCACTTCAGACTCTGAATGTGTTGCAGGAAGTTCGGCCTGATATTTTGCTCTGAGTTTCTACACCAGACTGCACCGTGACAGTGTCAGCTGAGAAGTTCTGTTCAAGACGTGTCCTTAGATTTGATTTTTTTATGAGTTGGCAATGTTGCCTTTTTAGTGGAGGAAGGCTGTTAACTTTGTAAAACATGTGTTTCCAGTCTTGGTGAGCCCCTTAGAAATGGTCAGTGGGTTCCTTGTTGCAGAGTTTTAGTATTCCTGATATATGTACATATAAATAGGTGTGTATATGTATTGATATATATCTTAGGCTGTGGGGGGGGTTCACATATGAAGTCACTGGAGTGCCAGAGATTGACATAAGCTAAGTATCAACTAATGGACATATCACATAAAATATTACCAAAGCTGACACTAATAACCGCCCACTGAGACTAAATTACCTTCTCATTTTGAGAAGTGTCCTTTGAAATTAGGCGGTGACACATTGGTAGAGCGGCACAAGGAAGGCTTGTATTGCTGCCGCTGACTCTTGTGTAGACAGAGCAAATGCCATGGGTCTTCACTGCTGTTAATTCCACTTCTTAAAACAATGCTAAATTCCCTTTAGTTGCCCCCACTGCTCCACCCAATCCTGTTGATTATATTGTACCTGCTTGCACAGGGACTCAAATCACAATTCATCTGGAAGGAATCTGCTTTCACTTGTGTTGCCTTCAAAAAGAAGTAAGGTGCAACCCCTACCACAGGGCATTTCTAGATTAAAGCCAGGGTGCTCTGTACATGCAGGCCCCTTTGGGCATGCTGCAGCTGTATTCAGCAGGAGTGAGGCTTTCAGGATCAGAACCTTATATCACATTAGTGCCCCAGTGTGTTACCTGTCTCAGTATTGACACAGCCCTCATCACTGTAGTTGGCTGAGCAATTCATCATTATTTATTACTCAGTTTTATCCTCACAGGGAATTTAATACTCCCATTTTCTCTATAGCCATCTGTCATAGGGCAAGAGTCGCACAGAAAGCTAGCGTCCAGATTTGAGCCCAGTTCTCTGGGATCTTAGGCTATTACCCTACCCAGTGGTGCCCCCTTCCTAGCTTTTTTTCTTTTTGTGTCTGGTGAATCTGGCACTTTCTGGATCTCTGAAGGCAGCTGAATGATCCAAGAAAAAAAATGCTGAATGCGTGCCTGTAAATCTAAAAAACAAGCCTTTGAATATGCCAAAAATTAACAAAGTGGTTGCCACTGTCATTTCACCTTTAAGTCAGTAAGAAAAAGATATAGAAACATCATGGGATAAATATGGTAAATTTCTGTGTAAGGCATAGTAGTCACAAAATTAAAATATTGGGTGTTTTATTACATGTGCGGAGCCTCCTGTTTTTTCTGCCTTATACAGAAAGGAATCTATTTCTGAACTAAAATATCCTCACCACTGAGCAACAATAAATATACAGATTTTTTTTTACAAGGGCATCTTCGCACAACAAACCCTCACCCTCTCAGGTCTACCTACCAACATGTGAAAGCTATAAACACTAAACAGTGATATAGGGGGAGAAAAGCGTATTTTAGCTCCTCTGAAATGCATTGAGCTGAAGGGGTATTCAGAAGAGGAGTGGGAAAAAAAACAGATGAAAAATATTTGCTTTAAGTTTGTTGTATCCTGTGCACCACCCAGGCTTAGCCCTTGCCACCAGGCACTGGAGTTGGTTTGGGTGCTTTGACATTAGAAACATGGGCATGCCAACAATTAAGGAGCAGCAGATACGTGAATTCACTGAGGTCTCTGCTATGCCAGTGAAAGCTGAGCTCACTCCTTTGCCCTTTTTATTGGTGTAAGCAAACGCAGTTTTCTGACACAGAAAATATTGTGTTTCCTTATTTTGTTTTCTAAACTGTTGACTCCCTAAAGAAATTGAGGTTGTTTGAAGTAGCTAATACAAGCTCCCATAATGTAATGTTTTATTCTTTGTTGTTGTATGGTGTGAGTTAATGATGACTTGTTATATCAAGTTACCTTATAATTATCTTCCTGAACAACTATGGAGTTAGGTAAAGGGCTTCCAAGAGAAGCACTGTGGTCCAACAGACGGAGCATGGCTTCTGGAAGTCAGGATTAACCAAGTCCCAATGTTGGCTCTGCCATTTTTCTCTCCAGGGGCCTTATGTAAGGATTTTGTTTGCCCAGAGTTTCCAGTGAAACCAGGGGATGATTTAAAAGTGCAGAGTGTAGGAGTAAGCTGAGAGCGATTACATAAATATTGAAGAAATACTGAACAATGTGAAAAGAGCATTGGGTTCCAGCTCCACTACAGACTCCATATGTGACCTTGGGAAAGTCATGTCACCTCCTTAAGCCTCAGTTCCTCATCTGTTAGTTGAGGGTAGTAATACTTCTTTCCTCCACACTGTATTTTGCCTTGTCTGTATAAATTATCAATACTTATCTTACGATAGCATAACGCACGACACAAAGGGGCTCTACAATCTTGGTAGGAGTCTGTGGAGTCTAATACAAATCATGGCGCTAGGTAACTATTGCTGAAATAAATAACAAATTGCATTGTGTAATCTCTAGTAATGAAACCTCTCAACTTGAGAGATGAGTGGCCCTTCATTGGGCGCGGCGTTGATTAGGATAAATTACTTTGTTTCCCTGCCTCCACTATTTAGATTGAGAAATGAGAAGAAACCTTACCTGTCTCCCTCCTAGAAAAGATGAGTTAATGTGGCACCTGGGGTCTCAGCTCTGAATGAAAGGGATAGTCTAACCTCGCTGTGTATCCACATTCTGTTGTATGTTTCTGCAAACCATCTGGAATTTTTCTCTGCTTAGTATTTTCTGTATGTACCATATGTTTTTACATGAAAATTCAATAAAATATGCAGTATACATGAAAACTGATGGAATAAATAAAGAACAGTCCCTTTTGTGAACTGCACAGGACCCAAAACTTTATAAGAGGTTCAGTCTGGTCCAAAGTAAGATGCCTTCCTCTGATTTACGCCAGGTCAGCTTGGGGAGAGCCTTTAACTTGAAAGGAACTCTGCTTTGCTAGGAAGGTTCTTAGATGAGCTTTTGCTGCTCTCTGCTGAGAAAATTGAATAATTACATGAGCAGCCTCCCTTAGTTTTCTAAGAAAAATGGTGAGCAAAATTGTGAGCACTGCATTTCTGTGCATCAGGCTGAGGGGAATTAACTTTGTTACTTGTCACACAACACTCTTTATCATTTCCCCGGATTTGTTGCTTTTCCAAGGAGGCGGAATAAGTTTTGTATCTTTCTGGAGTTGTTGGTTGTATCTTTCTGGCATCCTGTGAATGGTAAACTGTTCTGGATGCTTGCAGGGTTACATCCATGTGAGCCAAATTGCAGTTTGCTACACAAGGATCAAATGCATGGCTTTCCGCAGGGGTTCATTGTGGGAGGGAACAGATCTCTCCCTACAACTAGTCACTTACTACTACAACCTACTGCCAGTAGCAGCAGCTCCTGCTGCTGCTGGATTTTGTCAAAAAAGCATTGTGGTGGTACCTTTGGCCTTTCCTCAAACTCTGCACCTTGCCATAATAAAATTTGCCCTGCCAAACCGTTCTCTGATGCAAAAGCCTCCCCCTAGTGGCATCTCCAGATATTGCAGCCCCAGCATTTTCCTGTTGCTTTCTGAGCCTCTTCCAAGTACAAAAGGGGAAGGATCCACAGTTTCTAAGCAAAAATATTTGTGGCTAGGGATGCTCACCATCTAGCAAAGTTTTCATGCAACCGTCTGTTTATGTTTAAACAGAACATCACTTTGTTTCGGATCTTAATGTTTGTTTTCTCTGCTTTAATAGCTTCCAATATGTGGATTCATTATTCTGTTTTAACTGTGTAGCTATAGCAGATTCCATGGCTAGGGATATGCTATACATTTATTTATTTACAACCAACATTTTTGTATTTTTAGTTTTTTTACTTATTATTTTAGATGGGAAAATTACCCAGCAAAATGCAGATGACGTATAAACAAATAGAAACCCATTGCCTGGGAAAATCTAATACTGGTCACTTAAATGTGAGGAAAGTTAACAAGCACTTCTTCCCTCCTTTCCTTCTTTCTAGGATGTCCCTGACTACCAGAATGTGCAAGAACTTGCTTACCTGGATATGGTGATTGCAGAGACCTTGCGCATGTATCCCCCTGCATTCAGGTATGTGTTTTGCCTCTGTCTTCCATGGAGTAAGTCATTACTTAAACATGGTATAAATTTCTGTTTGGAAGCCAGACTCTTAGTTTCCATGCAAACAGCAATACAGCTCAGGTACTTGTGAGAGATTGAGTGTGGCCCAATGAAAGGCTGCCAGTTTATCTAAAGTGAAATTTCAAAGCCTGCTGGCAAGGAGTCCCTTTCACTACTCTTCAGGTCCCTGAGATCAGGGGATATGGATTATATGAAGTAGAATGAACTTTGAATGTCATCTGGCTTTTCTTTATTGTGCTCCAGGCTTCGGTAATTCTGGAGTGTAGACTCTCCTAGTCCATTCTCTCAGCATGCCATTTACCCTGAAATTTATTAAAAGCCCTGATCTTCTGAAGATTGTGCATGTCACTTTGCCACATTCAAAAAGCTGCACTGTACTATGTGTATGGCTAATTCTGTCCTAACCTGTTCTGTATTAATAAGATGCGTCTACACAAGACACTTTACTGTGCATTAGACTAATCTAATGCGCAGTAAAACATTGGCCTCTACATATGCACAGCAATTACTGCACAGTAAATTAGTCTAATGCGCCGTTTTCTAGTACCTGTCTAATACAGGTACTAGAAATTGGCACAATAAACTAATGTGCCAAAGTGCATGTGTAGATGCTAACAGGGAGCAAATTGTGCTCAGCACGACAGTGCCTCCCAGCTACGTGGAGATCAGGACAGGTCCTGATCTTCATATAGCTGGGAGAGGTGCCCTGGCTGCTGGGCAGCTGCCTCTGAGTCAAGTGGAGATTGGGATGGGTCTGCTTCTTGGAGATTGGGACCAGCCCCTGTGCCCCCTGCCAGGCTGGAGCTGGCATCTGAGCCTAAAGCTCCCCCTGGCAGCTGCAGGGGGGTACAGCAGGACAGGAGTGGCCCTAAACTGAACTGCTCCTGTCAGGAGCAAATTTGCTCCCAACTGGTGCACATTCCAATGTGTGCGGGGGCCCAATTTAATGCGCCTAAATCTTCTGCACTGGTACATTTTCAGGTGCATTAATTTCACATGTAGATGTGCCCATAGTGCACTATTGTTGTAGTTAGTTTTTGTGACTCCATTAAGTTTAAAAACCTTTTCCTTTATTGATACTCAGTGGCCATGTCTGCATGAGATGCTGACTACGCAGTTGTTACTGTGCAGTCATTTAGTACTTGTATAAACAAGTACATTATGACTGTGCAGTAGCCGGAGTTACTGAGCAGTAACATTGCTGAACAGCTTTTAGGTGACACTGACTGCACAGTAGCTTGTTACTACTGCGCAGTAGCATTGCATCACGCTTTCTGCCATGTAATAACTACTGCACAGTCAGCGACTCATGTAGACGCATGCAGTTTCCCTAAATGAAAATAGTGAACCTTAAAGCATTGGTTTATTAAGTGGTGGGGGGGAGTAAAGGGAGGGGAGAAATAAATAAATTAACATCTCAAAGCTGTAATAGAACAGAAGCATAAATTTAAGAGGGTATTTCTAAAAGCCTTCAGTATTGGTCACTCTCCTTCAGTTGAGGACAGTGGCAAAAATTCATTGATTTCAGCGGGAGCAGAGCTAAACCAATGTCCAATGCTTTTGGAAATCTCATCCTGCAGTTACAAATACCTAAAAATAAAACAGCTGAAAATCCAAACACTTTCTGGTAACCCATGAAGCTGTGAGGTAAAGATTTTCCATGCTCTTTTCTGGAGTTGCGTAGGGATTCAAAGTAATTATACTTGTTCATAAATGACAATATTGTGTTTTTACTTTGAGGGGTATAATATGTAAATGTAAATTGTTGTGCCAGGTTGCCGTAAGGGACATTTAAGTTTCAGCTGCATCAGAAATGCTAAGTATCAATGTTTGTCAAATGGAAAACAATATCAGAATAGAGTAAAAATGTTTTGAAGCTCCTGTTGGTGTCATTTGTGCTATATATTGATCTGGCTTTTACTCTGATATTTACTGAATTAATAGGAAAAGCTCAGTGCATCAGAATGATGCTAACATGATAAGACAATAATAAAAACTTGTATCTCAAAATAGAATAAAATTAAGAAAATTCAATAGCTATAAATGAGAGTGATTTAAAAACAAGACAACTAAACAGGGAAGTTTGTTGTGTAGAACTTCTGATACAGTGCCCTTCACACACATCGTATTCACCTTGGAGTGAGAAGGGATGACTTGAAAATGTCCTTTTAATATTTCAGTATTTTTCACCAGGTTTATAATTCTGGATTATCCATTTTGATTTGTGTGTGTGTGAGAGAGCACAAGAACGTAGTGCCGTGAATGGTGTCAAACTGATAGCCTTATATCCTGATAGCTCTGGGAGGTGGCGGGGGAGGAAGGTGCTCTTAGAGCTCCACTATTTAAAAAGCACCCGGAGCATCACATGTATCAGCAGCCCCACGCTGACAAATGGCGATGGAGCACTTTAAACCTTAAAGCCACCTTGCCATTTTTCAGTGTGGGGACGCTGATACACGTGATGCTGGAGGCTGATGGAGCACGTTCATTTCCACGCTCCAACAGAATTGATTTAACGGAGTCTGCTCCGACGTGCTGGAATTACAGTGCGTCGGAGCAGCCTCCCTGCAAATGTATAGGAGTCCTTGGAGACCAAAATCTTCTGTGTATTCACGAAATAGATCCAAGGCAGGCAGCAGCAATACAAACAAGGTCTTTTGTATCACCTCCAATATTGAGCTCACTACTGATCTGGAGGCAGTGCTGCTTAGGAGTGAGGGAACCATTCAGCCTCCAGGGTCTAAGCAGTCCTTTGTGTCTGCTGGGACCAATCATCTTTTACTGTAGTACGTCCAGTAAAAACTCCCAATAAAAACATTCTTTATCCTGTAGTGCTTCCAAACTAAACAGACAAGGCAGACAAGTGTGAGAAACAGGAAGCACGGCTCCCGTTTTGGAGTGGGGAGCACTGAGAGATCACAGATATTTTTAAAGGTGTCCAAACCCCATCTTCAAAACTGACTTCAAAGCCCTTGGCACTCTTGAAAATTTTACCCTTAAGTTTTCAGTGCTTAAAAGTGAGCAGGACTGGAGCTTTTTTCCAAAAAGCTCATGTGACTTTCAAAGTCACTCTAGAGTTTATGGCAAAAATAAGAATTAAGCCCAATTTTCTGACTTTCTAGCCAAGTGTCTTTAAAAGAGAAATACCTTCTTTTCCCTTTAACAAGGAAGGTAGGTGTGGTGGCTTCTGGGCTTTCCAGTGACTATTTAATGGCAAACTCATTTCACAGACAGGCTCCCCAACAGCCATCAGGTGATAACAGTGCACTTTGGGAACTGCAGTTAGCACTGGAATCTCTGGATGCCCTGGCAATATACATACTGAATTACACTGACACTTGAAAAAAAGAAACACCGAAGAGTAAAGATCCTCATTATGGTGGCAAAATGAAGCGCTCAAAGGGCGCATCTATACATGATGCTTTGACTGCCACTGTAGCAATACAGAGTTATTAATTTCCTCGTGGGCACTTCAGTGATGCTCATCACTGTGGTATCTGAAGGTTTCACAGATATGAATGTATTTATTTTCACACCACTGAAGCACAGAGAAATTAAACTCAAAAGTTTCCACCAATTGTGAGTGTCCAACTTGAGATACTTAGGACCTGATTTTTTGGCACTGTTGCACTGGATAGCATTGTCTCAGCTCAAAGCACAGCTCCCACCAACTACAGCTCAGCACTCCTGTAAATAAAGCATCTCAAGTCAGGCACTTGTGAGGAACACACAAGTGATCGCCAGGGAAAAGTTTGCTTTAGGGGTTTCTTAATATCTCAGGGGAACTCCAGGGCAGAAGAATAGTGGCTGTCCAGGACTGCCTTTACCACAGCACTGTTCTTTTTCTTCCAGGTACCCCTGCCTCAGTCACTGCATACTTTCCAACATTGTAATGAATGAGGCAGGGCCGCTACAGACAACAGACTCCTTCACCCCCTGCCTCTGATTTAAATCTAACATATACCCTTTGTGCGCAGTATATGGGGCAAATGTCCAAGGAAAGGCTGGTAAGGGATCACATTAGAGAATCCATCAGAATGCACATGTATAAAGAAGCCAAATAAAGGTTGCAAAGGCAACCTCAGTTTGATGTTTCCTAACTTCTGAGTGCTCGACTTTTTCCCTGGCCTTATGCTCAAAAATGACCGAATGATTTTGGCTGTAATTTTCCAAAAGGTTCAGCATGAGACAGACACCAAGCATGAAAAATATTTGTCCAAACAATTAAGGATTGGGTGTCATAATGGTCACCATTGATGGACGGTGGGGTGTGGTAGGGGGGCTAGATTCTAATTGCTGGCAGAGCAAATGAAAGCACTTTGACCCTGAAAAGATCACAATCTCTGTAGTGAAGATGATTTTAATGTTCAAAAGTATGAACTTGACTCTGGGGCAAAAGAGTGGTTGCCCTGCTTACCTAACAGGAATGCTATCTTAACCATTGTACTATTCTATGGCTGATTCCAGCACCTTGGCCCTGCATTTTTATCTTTAATGTTCAGCCTGCATTTATTGTTGCAGATTTACTCGGGAAGCCTCAAAGGATTGCGTAGTTATGGAACAGCGAATTCCAGCTGGGGTAGTTGTGGAAACTGCAGTTGGATACCTCCATTATAACCCTGAGTTCTGGCCAGAACCTGAGAAGTTCATCCCTGAGAGGTAGGTGTGGAAAACATGTTTTTCTCTTGTGCAGCATTGATATTATTTACACTCATTTAACCCAAAGCCCTGCTTCAGATGATGTTTCCTATCAGATGAATAAGGAGGAGCACTGTGGGTATAAGCAATTTGTTCCCAGTACTCCTATGACAGGCAGTGGAAATGCCTTTTAGATATCAGTAGTCAGACAGACATGCTAAGCACCTGGTTTCACTTCATAATTCCTGTGTCCAGCGTAACCACAATAATCAGCTGTTAGCCTGGGATGAGCTTTAGCTATCCCCAGTTGAGAGTTTAGATCATATCCAGCATCATTTCCATTTTACTAGGTGGCTATAGATGTCCATCCTAAAACGGATGCATCTGTAATCGCCTACCTGGCATCAGTATAACTTATTTCAGATCAAATGCTATTGTTTATATCACTCGTATATACAGAAATTCTCAAGCAAGAGAAACTGTCCCTGCTATTCATCTGTATGTAGCAATCCAGAATCCCCTGCCAGCCTAGGGCTCTTTCAGAGCAGGCCTCTTGTCAGGCTAGTCTCGGGGGTTATGTGCTCAGTAATTAGCCCACGTTGAATTGCTGAAGCCAAGGTGTGATTCTAGACCATTATAGGATTTTAAAGTCTTTGGTCTGATTAACATAGGGCTTCCAACAGTCCATAAATGTACAGGTAGCCCATCAAAAATAGGGCAAAAAACATTTGTCCGTGGAGTCCATAAAAAAAACTGGAGCAGACAGTAAAAATGCTAAGCAAGTAGTCTGATGGGCAGCATCACCCAGTATCTGAGCAGGGTAGAACCTTGCAGGAAACTCTGGTCAGGACTTTGTGGCTCACATGAGCCTGCATAGCCCCCTCCTCTCTGCCTAACCATATGATGCTGCTGTATCCCTCTCCTCTGGCTGTCCCCTAACTCTGACAGCTGCTTTCCTTCAAGGTAGTGGAAGGGGGGTGACACAGCAAGTACATAGATGGGGGCCGGGAGGGGGAGAGGCAGTGGGTGTGGGTCTGTGCCTCAATGCAGGGAGTGGAGCTGGTGGGGGTAAGGCTGGGGAGGGGGCAGCACCATGTGGAATGTGGTTGGGAGTATCAGAGTGTGGGTGTGAGTTAGGGTATGCCTGGGGTAGGGGCAGTATGGTGTAAAACCATTGCTGCAGTCAAGCAGGGTAGCCAACCCAAGATTTTTTTTTTTTTTTTTTTTTTTTTTT